TATATATATATATATATATATATATATATATATATATATATATATATATATATATATATATATATATATATATATATATATATATATGTATACATACAAATATACATATGTACATATAAATTATATATGAGTTTTATATAGTTATATATAATCATACATGTTCTCACCCGGAAAAAAATGATGTTAAATGAAAGAGGGAAGAAATAGTCTTATTCAATGAAACGTTGACACTAGGTGCTGCCAGAAGCATTCACTTCGTTTGCATTTGTTGTAACAATATTTTTTCGTTATGCATAAAATTCATACACGATCTTTTTTGTTTTCCGAAGAGCTTTTCTGTAATCTCAAGAAGGTTCATTTTCAGGTGTTCCAAAAAATTAAATGTAGATCGACTTTATCAAGTCTTGAAGAGGAAATCATGTGCTTCATTAAACTTGATTATTATCACGTTATATGCCAAACTTTCTGAAACAGCACTTGTTATTTCAATCGATATTTGGTCGTCCGATCAAAACGATACCTCACAGATATATCTTGCAGATTTTCGCACATTTTACTAACAACTCGTCCGTTTGCATTTCAGGTTCCTGGCGATCTGGTGGCCGCTGAAGTGTCAGATCACGAAACGGCGGGCTCGCATGATGATTGTCGTGATCTGGTTTATCGCCCTAACGATGACGTCGCCGTGGCTACTGTTCTTCGACCTGGTCGCGATCTACGAGGACGAGCCGGACCTGCGTCTTTGCCTGGAGACGTGGCCGCACCCCGAGGACGGCTCGTTGTTCTTTCTAATCGGCAACCTGACGCTCTGCTACGTACTGCCGATGATCCTCATATCCCTTTGCTACATCCTTATCTGGATAAAGGTGTGGCGCAGGCACATACCTACCGACACCAAGGACGCCCAAATGGAGAGGATACAACAGAAATCGAAGGTGAAGGTGGTTAAGATGCTGGTGGTGGTGGTGATACTCTTCGTGCTCTCGTGGCTGCCGCTCTACGTGATCTTCGCGGTGATCAAGCTGGGCGGCGACGTGGCCGAGCGCGAGGACGAGATCCTGCCGATCGCCACGCCGATCGCCCAGTGGCTGGGCGCCAGCAACTCCTGCATAAATCCGATCCTCTATGCCTTCTTCAACAAGAAGTACCGCCGCGGCTTCATCGCCATCCTGAAGAGCGGCCGGTGCTGCGGCAAGCTCAGGTATTACGAAACCGTCGCGATGATGTCCTCTTCGACGAGCATGCGCAAGTCCTCGTACTACGTCAACAACAACAACAATAACAATAATAACAACAACTCGTCGACGAGACGCGCCTGGCACGGACCGCCGGTCCATCAAGACAGCAACGTCTCCTACATATTCAATCACACCGGCGTGTAATCGCGGTGACCGCCTGAGCCGGAGGCGCCTGAAGCGCCTCCGCTTTTGTCACACTTGCGATTCAACCGGTCGAACAAACTACAAGGGGACCACCACGGTGCGGTGGACCCTCTTCGCGGCCCCGACGAAGCCAAATCCGTGCCGAAGTCCGCCGGTCCGAGATTCCCGGGTCATCCTGCGGATGATAGACACGATTGTTACTCGGGTCGGAAGTCACCGACAGGAAGACGAGCGAGCGGAAGAAGGGCGACAGGGAGGGGAGGACCCCGAGGGTTCCGGAGACCTCACCCGACCAAATCAGACCACGGGGCGGGTCGTCGTCCTGCCATTGTCGTTACCGAAGACATCGTTGTCTGGATTTTGTCACAATGTAGCCATTATGTATATGTAACATACTCTAGTTGTTAAGAGAGGACCTCGCCGTTTTTGTGGGCGCGCGCGAGCGCGTGGTCGTTTGTTCCAAGAGGGCGACGCGAGATAGCCTGGCTTCCCCGGCTGACTTGCGGGGAGACTCGCGGAATTACGTTTTGAACGAAGCCCTTACTTAGGATTTGTCCTACATGTCGAGATATTTGTATGTCTGCCGTCTCGAGTGCACGCTCGGAGCGGATGGTAGATCTAGTTAAGTGTACCAATTAAATGTGTAACGTGCGAGTTCGTACGCGATCGTACGTTCTCTCCTCGCGTGTGTCGAGAGTGTAATTAGCGCGAGTGCGACGAGATGACAATATTGTCGGCTCACACACGATGGCCCAAGCTCGCTCACGCGGCCACGTCGCGAGCACGTTGTCGAGTCGTTGTCCCTCGACGGCGGATTGCGTCGTGGCTGGCTCTCACTTCCGCCCGTCATGAGGGAGACAATTAGGCGCGCGCGACAATTACTCGACGCTTCTCGGCCAAGCGGTTGCGTAATTAAGAGGGCGAGAGTGAAGGCGTGCAGCACTCTCGTGCATGGTGCACGCTTCATCGGGCGAACCGACCGCGGCTGATGGTCGGAAGAGGACTCTGTCCGCGTGATTTTTGAAAATAGAGAGCGCCCAGCTAGCCGGGGTTTCAGCAACTGATCGAACGAGTCGGACAGTTGGCATTTCGAGATCGAACCTTGAACCGGTCGCTTCTCTTTCAAACCTGCGCGTTATGTCCGTATATTTTGGCAATATATTTTTCAACGGGAAGCGCCCCGAACGGAAAGGGTGGGTCCCGCGCAAGGTTGCGAGTCGCGACTCATCGTCACGTTCTCCCGGCGGGCATCCTTGACGACCTTTCAAACTTTTTGCGCCGTAAACAGGACACGGAGAAACGGACGAGATCGGGAAAACGTTATTTTGTGAGCGCGTACATAGATCTGTGTGTCACGTGTGTACGTATGAGTGTGCATGTATGTGGGGGAGGCGGTAATGGATAATCGAATCCTTGTAAACACTCCGTCTCTCCGTGGGCGAGCGAGCGATTCTCCGTGTACTTAAAATTACACGCTAAGGTCAAGTGCGTGTATTCGCGTTTACGGATATATTAACTGAGTTAGTCCTTCGGTGGTCCTTCCGCGTAACGTCGTTTCTCGCACTTTACGCAAAACAGATAGAAAGAGGCCGCAGTAAAGCGCACAGGGGATACCACACAAAGTATCGTCTCTAAAGGATCTTGAAGATGTCTCATTCTTCAACGTTCTCCGGGCGTTTTCCAGACATCTCTTGTACTGCACTTCGTGTTATCCGGAAGTCACACTGAAAAAAAGTCTTGTAACAGTTAACAGATGCATTTGGTCGAGCGTTTCAACGTAACGTTTGGTTATTAATATCAAATTGTTAATAGTCACCATCCATTCGTCTGCCAATAATTACAGGATAATTAGCGAGGTAAATTGTTCTTTTAATTAAACTAATTAAATGGTTTGGTAAATAACAGCAAATATAACTTGCTAACAATTTCACTCTCAATTACAGTCTGTCACCCAAGTATTTAGTCACTTTATGTAGTCACTTTGTGTCACGTAATATGGTAGGTATTACTGAATAATACGGTTTTGGTTGACAAATTGTTTGCAGATACGTATCACTTAGATTGGCGACAGTCAAGTCGACAGACCAAGTTTGAATGAGCCTCGCTAAGGTTATTTGCTAACGCTCACCAAATTCTTCGATTATATTCATCTACACACGTTCTCAGTTGAAACTATTTCACCAGAGTGTCTGGTAACTATTGTCCAGACTTGATGGTTATTACCAGGCCTTTTGTTCAGTGTACAGAGCAAAAATACCGTTATATCGAGAGAAATTGCCAACATTGTCGTAATTGAAGTAAACCTTCTTGATTCAACAATATCATACTTGAAACTAATACATCATACATTATTTCGATGACTCACGTGTCAGTTTCAAGTGGCATTGCTGTTCAATCGGGAAGATTTACTTCAATTACGGCAACGTCGGCAATCTTCGCTGATGCAACAGCATTTCTCGTACGTGTACGACCACTGAAAGGAGGCTTCGATTGCGCGCGTTGTAACACGGCTGCAACGAAAGCGATCGTTTCCCGATCAGGATAATCCCGATGGGATCTTCTCGGGCGCGATTGTCCGTTCGAGTTCGGATGGAGGGCGCGAGTACGATTCATGACAGTCTTCTGAAGCCGCGATACTTATCACGCGCGTTTCGCCGTCGAACGAGATGACACCCGTCGACGATAAATCAAGAACGCACTTTGTCCATTGACACCGTGGCCCGGATGGGACCGTGTCGCGGGATTTTCGCGCGCTCGCGCGCCTTGTAACGCAATAGCGATATCGAGCAGTTGTATCACTCACTCGTTACATTTTAAGGGCCGGCGTTGATCGGCTTTAGAGGTTTAGGGCGGTTTTGTCCCCCTTCTCTCTCCCCTTTCCTCCTCCTTCGGAGAGAGAGCGGGATTACTTTGGATCTTTATAGCTGTAAAAAAAAAAAGGATCGCGGTAACGTCATAAGCGAAAAATGTCGGATTTTACGATAGAACAATTATTTTCGTAAGATTTTTATACGAGGCGAAGGCGAGAGTCCGTAAGTTCGTAGGTGTAACGAAGACGTATGAATTATTATAAGGCGGCCCTGCCGGGGCTATCCCGATTCTCATATCTATCCGTGGTACGGCACACGGCCACCCTCTCGAGGTGGGTATCGCGATTAGCTGTGACGGTGGTAATAAGGTAGACATGGCGCGAAAGGAGACCAGCGTTAGCGCAAGCGGAGGAGCGCAGTCGGAGTCGGATGTTACACGGGTGAATTTTTATCTTTACTCAATTTTTATTTTTTTATTTAATAAATTATATATATATATATATATATATATATATATATATGTATTATATTTATATATACATTTTTTATTACGTTATAAATTTTATTATATATAGATTTTACTTTTATATTTAACTTTCCATCTCAAATGTGAAAATTCAAAGAAACTCGTCCGATTGAATTGCTCGCGATCCCACGAGCAAAACGAATATCGTTCACGTGTAACAACTCTCTTATTCGGACGGGAGTTTTTTTTTCCTCGGCTACAATTTCGGCTTCTTGCAAGTTTCTCGGGAGTTGTTGATTCCTCTTGAGGTCCTCATTTGAAAGGAATTTGTATTCTCTTGGAAAGTTTCTTTCGCGAGCAAAGCTCCTCGAGCAAGGCCGCGGAAACGCTCGGGGCTCTGATGTATGTACGATTTGTCGGATTTAAATTTCGATGTTAGGGACGAGCACTCGTCTCTGTATTTACTCGCGGCGATTGGCGCGAGACTAACAGGTTCACCGTGCCTGCAGCATCGGCAATTGAACGCACCGGAATCCCATCGATCCCGGCTACAATCGCAAGCTGCAACTGAATACTTGCGTACGCGTACGCAGAATGTCGAGCGCGCTCGAGTGTACGAACATGAATATTGCAACACACGTAGTGTACACACGTAAAAATTAAGCGCAAGTCTATCCGCTGTGTCTGTGTATATGTACATATTATACATCTCTATACATATATATATATTTATCTATTATTACTACACATTGTTACTGCATGCACACGCAGACACACATATACACATATGTTCCATGTTCATCGTTTCACCGAGAATCTTCTTCATATCGTAGATCGTTAATGGCCCATTTGCCATCGATCTCCGTCACGGTGTACCTTTTGTACGCATCTTAGTGGGATAAGCTACTTGACAGTTAAATCATATGTCTGTCTTCATTTTTTCTTTGGACAGAGGCAGACATATGATTTAACTGTTAGGTAGCTTACCAAGAAGTTGGAACAATTGACCTTTAGAGGCTTCAGTTTTAGAGGGTTACGCCACGGGGCTATTAACGATGGACGTATGCTGGTGACTGACTCCTCGGACTGCATCGCGTGACAGTTCGGGAGCGAGTTGCCGTTGATAGGTGTCTTATTGTTCGCTCAGCAACAGCTTTTAGAGCCAAGTTCGTTGCGTTTGTAACTTAGATAAGTGTGAAGGGCCGTTGTAGAATGAATGACCCGTGAGAGAAACGCTGGTATTGGGGCCGTAAAATGAATCTAGATCGGGATATTCGAATGTATCCGGATGATGATGATGAAATTCGATGTTGAGATTCGAAGGACCAGCATCGAGACAAAAGAAACAATCGAACATGAGTCAAGTGCGTCGAGCATCATATACGTTTCCGGATTGGATCATCATTTGCATCTGAACGTTGTACAAAAAAAAATGTCAGTTGGTGCAAGCGAATAGGAACCAACTGAAAATAAGGTGATCAGAAGCGATATCTGTTTTGAAAACTAATATTTCTGTTGTCGCAAACGAAAATATTCGTCTGAACATTCAGCGATATTAGAACTTGATTGGAGCAACTGAAAACAATTGATTATATAGAAGCCTCATAAAGGAATTTTTCTGTTTCTACTGACAAATTTTCGTCCCTAAGCAACCGAAAATTCGATTGCACCAACAGAATTCTTTTTTCCGTGTACTTAATAGGAAAAGGTACTCTTCCACCCGCGTTGCAAACAATAAATGGAAATAAAAAATGGCTGACGAAACTCAAGATAAAAATCCGGAAATTATAAACCTATTTTTATTTGAATTTTGTCAGATGCATTTTCTTTCTATCTATTGATTTGTACTTGCACGCATTTTTTGGGATTCGCCGCTGCAAATTCGATGAAATTTACGAAGTTTCTAATTGATCTAACGTATAAACTGCCCATGAACAGTTGAATAAAATAACGTAGTGCACCATTTCATACTCGAATATTTTATATATATTCGACGGATTCTCCGCGCTGAGAGAAAAGGGTAGTTGAATCGACAAAATCACCGGCAAATAAATATTATATCTATTGGACAAATTACACGCGTTAGCACAACAACAAGTCGCGCTGATACAGTTACTGACCAATTCGCAATCATTGAATCGATCGTCAGCTCACCACAGTAATTGTATAATTCGTTTAGTCGACTGAACTTTTGCTCGAACGAATTTCATTCGTTTCAGCAGAGTCTCGTTAGATCAACCACTTCTCTTCTCACTGCGCGCATTCTCCACGGAAATGTCACGTTTGCTCGAATCGTAAACGGCGTGACGCGCTCATTCGAATATTTACGGCCCTAATCTGTAACCCATTCTGCCGCCAGTACGTAGATCTTATCGCGTTGTTGTCACGTAATGATACGGTGTTCGAAAGGCCGCGATCTCGCGCCAACTACGACATAAGGGCGAGCTGTCCTCGTTGTTAAAGATTATGCTTCCACTTGGACGAATTTAATGTCGTGTTAATTCGAATTTTCGCACGAAGGAGAAACACGTGGAGGAAGACATCGTCGTCCCTATCAGGGATTCTGTCTTGTACATAACAAGATACTGCGTCACAAGACACTGCGAGCTTAAATCATAACGACTTTCTACTCGTCAATCGGTTCCCACCATACTTGACCACTTTCACGTTCAGCCATTATACCGATGATATCCGACAATTAAGTCCGTGCGTGCGAAATCGAGGCGCGCCGGCAAGCGCCTTTCGAGAGTGATGGCGAGCCCGACGTTTTTCTGAGCATTCTCGATCCTTACACGTAACTGCCGCGCGTTTGTGTGCGTTTGCATGTACGGGCGTGTGTGCATGTGTGCGCGTTGAGTGTATTCTATCGTATAGAAGGAGGTGTATTTGTGTTACGCACTCCTCGCGAATATTTACGCCGAGATCCCTTCGCCGCGGTTGCTCACCGATTAATCTTTAAACGTCGTGGACGCTTGGCGCACGAAGAGAGACGTCGCTGATGCCCGTTTCGGACGATTCATGAGGTCGCGAGGAACTCGCGGACAGATTCACAGATGTGAATATCGCGAGGTATCCTCGAGATCTGCGCGACTCCCGCGATTTGCTGACGAGAAATGCCGCGACCCTTCTTCTGTAATACCGATTCTTTGAGTGTTCTCCGCGTGTTACGGAGCAGAATCGAAGACACAGGATCGTCCGGAGCGAGTGGCTTGTCTGTGACATGCGATGAAAATTCCGATTTTCGACTGTCATCCACATGAAAGTTCCAGGTGGAACTTGTGAGACACCCTGATCGCTTGGATTGCACGGCGATAATTCTAAGGTTTCTATGCTCAAGATCGGCTTTTTTAGACAACACCGATAGGATAGGTTATCTAATAGGAGACGACTCTACGTATATATATTTTTTTCAATTTTTACCGACAGTTTTTGTATGGAAGGAATAAGTGGCGGGACGTCCGGCTCTCTTCGAAAGTTTCTTTCGTGAGGATGACAGTTGGCGGGGACCGGGCCCGGGGCTGAACGGCGACTTTCGCGTAATATCGAGTATTTAAAGAGCACAATAATTCCAGATCATCTCGAAATATACGACTTAAACATTCGAGTATTGTTAGCGCCGCTCAAGTATCCGAATATCCGCTACAATTGAATACTTTGGATTAGGATAAAAACGTTTCTTCTCCGAAGAAAAGTAAAGCGAAAGAAAGAAAAAAAAAAGGAATCTCCTAAGTGCATAGAGGTGTCCCTCTTTTGTAAACTTTAATTTTAGACTTATAGGTCTCGAGATCTAATCTTTTTTACATATCCACTCTTGTCTCGCAATACATACATACACTACTTAAATACCGTCGTTGATCGCCTTGCATTACTCGAGCAGTGCGCGAATAATGGATACTTTCCAAATTTTCAAGAGTAACATTCAACTAATCGAATGGTCCACGCCTTATGTCCCGCGTATGTGTGTGTACATATTACAAAGAAATTTTATAAATGAGATGACAGCGAGGTCAGCGATTTTCAGTTGTGGCCAAAAGGTAGTGAGGTAAGGTAGAAGATAATTTCTCGATGTGTCTCGTTGACATCTCCCCCTCTCTTTCTCTCTCTCTCTTTCTCTTCTCTTTTCTCGCGAGATATTGGAAAACATTTCGCGCAAATAATTCACGGTGAAAGGCCTGCGATGGCAAACTGCAGTGGCGACAGTTCGTAGGACGTCGCGCTGCGCGATTGGAGAGCGACTTACACATTTCTGTTTCTCAAGATATCGCTCTGAGCGAAGGCGGGCGGGATGCGTATCGAAGAGTATTCGAATGACGAATCCACACTCTGTGGAAAACTCGAAACCTCCTTCGATCGTCCCTGACCGCCGAGGGGTTTCATTAGCTTTATCGGAGATCTTTTATACGAAGCGCGCCGATCGACGCGCCGTGAACAGTTTACGAGATACATCGAGAGACGCGTGCGAAGAGATACCGTCTAAAATTAATTCCGCGAGGAATTAATGTATCCGAGAGTGTCCGCGATCACACGAGGGGGGGGATCCCCGAAGCCGACGCTTAAAGGTTAATCCGTCGTCGTAAGCCTATTTTTCTGATAAGCGCGTGAGATACGGGAGAGTGAAGGCGCGATAATGCGAGAACTGAACGTTTTCTCAATAGGCGTTCCGTTGTACAATTTTTATAATCGCGCAGGATAATACACACTAGCCGGTTATTATTCTTACGTCGTAATAATCTCGCGCGCGTTCGCGCGGGCCGCTTCGCGAGTTAGGCGTTTAATTCGTAGAACGTAATTACGATCATTGATATTGTATTAGCGACGGTTGCGTGCGAGAGGTAGCCGTGCGTGCGTGCGTGCGTGCGTGCGTGCGTGCGTGTTTGTTTGTTTCGCGTTTGTCGGTCGAGCTTGTGTGTCGGAGCATAGACGAGATTTTCACGTCGAGATATATCGGAAGTGCACGTCTGTTAGCTCGTAGCAGCTGCGAGATGAAGACGGTTTTATACATACACGCGTATATATATATATACATACATACATACATACATACATACATACATGGCGCTGCCGCCATAAAAGCACCGCAGAGATGCGCGCGTGGCGTTATTCGCGCGGCTCACACCGCATCCGCAAATTGTCGGTTTGCTGCGAGAAGTATCCGGTCTTGGTTTGGCGTTCGTGTCGAACGTAGATGAGGACTGCATTTTCCTTTCCCGTAAGCGCGCTTTCCTCCGAGTGGAGCCGAGCCCCTCGGTCATCTCTCCGGAAAAGAAGGCGAGAACAATCTGATTTAATATAACGGCATATTCTGTTGAAATATAGAACGCGATAGGAGAGCGACAGATCGCGTTCGCATCGACTTAATGATGTAACACACCGCTAAGAAATATAATATCGCTTCCAAAAACTGGCACACACACACACACACACACATTTGCCGACAGTCACGGCTGCAGATCGACACTTTGGTTGCACATGTGGCCGATCAAACATTCGGTCGAAACTCTTTCCTCTCTCTCACACACACACACACACACACACACACACACACTCTCTCTATCTCTCTTCTCTCTCTTTCTCGCTTTTGGTATAATGGAACACCCCGAGATATTAAATCCTCTTAGCTACGTAAACATCGAAAACACACGCACACACAAACACACAGCTCCATCCTTTGGTTCCCGTTACTTTGCTTTGACGGTTACGCGTTATATGGATAAGCAGCGTTATCTGTATAACAATGAAATAATAGAAACATACTAGGTAAGGAAACGATTGCGAACGAAGTCGATAAGTGTTTAGCGTCGTGTACTAGAGAGAGAGCGTGATGTATGTAATGTACCAATCTCGAAGATGTTATACCGATGTCGAGAATGCCTCCCCGCTCCCCCCCTTCACTCACACCGGCGAGACGATACAATGGGGGAGAAGGAAAGGAGAAAAGATTAATAATGTAACGTTAAACCGAATACGTAAGTACCACACGAGTAATAGTCCTCGTTTGTTGTATGTTTTGAGTATACATATATATATGTATATATATATATATATATACATATACACATAGAGATCGTATGTGAAGCAACGTGAGGAGGACCACCGCGACTCGGCGTTGCCCCGCGTTACCCCACAGCTGATGGCGCGCGCGTTCTCTTGTCCACTTGTTCGAAGTAGCAATAAAACTTCATTTCTCCCCCGTCTCCCCGCCACGTTCTCTCGCAGCGGTGACGCCGAGTCCGCAGTGCCCACGTGGCTCAAGTGTACCGAGTTGCGAGTATAAGTATACGTATTTTCTCAAAAAAGACATTGAAAATATAATACAATAAAATACCTCTATACCGTACGCTGTCCCGTCTACTCGTTCGTGATGTCCCGACTCCCGCCCGCACGTCCGCGCGACTCGTTAAGCCTGGATACGCGGCCTTTTTAATTAAATCCCCCTGGTCCCTTGTTGCAGCGAATTGCTACATCAGCCAGGCGCAGAAATCGCGCAAATTTCTTTTCACCGCGCACAATACACGTCGAGATAAATTAGTTCCTTCCTCGTATGCGCCAGCGCGCGCGCGCTCGCTGCGGTCGGTATGTACACTACGAGCAAAATAGACCGAAAATTTCATACCCTGGAAATAATTCCGGAATTCTTGTTCGGGTAGTGTTTGCGCGAATCATATTTCGCGCGGGAAAAACCTTCTCCTCCCCCGGCGCGAAAGTCGTCGTGTATGCTGCGAAATCAACTTTAGAACTCACGCTCCAACACGTAAATTGATTTTCCTTAATGAGTTTCCATTTCTTACCTCGCGAAAGTCACTGATGAGACGGCAAGGTGAAACGGGACTGCTCTCTCTCTCTCCCTCTTTCTCTCTCTCTCTCTCAAGTAATTTAGATGCACTTCGTAACTTTTTCCTCAACACTGAAGTATATGAAGTGCTGCGCAACGGTTGACTTCACTGGACGCTCGCTAAACCAATTCACGTCGTCGATTCTCGGTGAGCCACGTGTATCTCCCTGTCCGTCACTCAGAGTGAGAGAAAAGCCTCAGGTCACAACTGCTGATATGTTCTGGTAAATACACATTTTTATATAGATCGAAGGGGCAAAATGTGTGATGAAACTTCGCCAACGTCGCGCTATCGTTGAACTCTCTAAAGTACGATCAGTGTATTTTTCACTGAAAAGAGAGCTGTACTTCTAACTGGTGGCTAGTTGTAAGTGTAGCACTGCAATTACTGAAATCTCGTTGATCAGTCGATCGACGGCTCCTATTGCTGACGCAGACATAGACAGCGTCATTGCACGCAAGCCGTTAATTCCATCGCCACAAACGCAGAAAGTTGGATATAACGAGTTCGTGAGATACAAATGTTTGCAGTAAAATCTTACTGGCACTGATCAGAATCAGTGAGACATAAAATGAGATGATAAAATGGGAGTGCTTACACTGAAAATCAATGAATATTCACTGATTGTCGCGGCGATGTGCTCCTTTGACTGACTCAACAAGAAACATTTTTACTGATTCACTTAAAGAGAGAATAAAACGTGAAAGAGAATATCCCGAGCTCAGCGAACGTCGAGCGTCGACTCGCTCGTGATTTCCCCGAGCGTGGTGAGTGCTCTTGTATCGCGCACGCTCTTTGGTCGCGTTCCCGACACTTGATTTCTTCGGAAATCCTCCCTGAGAATCTCGCGGGCGTAACACCTGTAACGAGGGAAGAAAAGTGCGCGTTCTGTAATCAGACGCTTCTACCTGTTCCGTGAAACAGTTTCGAGTCGTATCGAGTATTCACTTCCCGCGAACGTGGGGTTCCTGCGAGTACATTGACATCGCATGCATTATCCGTGAGAAAGAAGGAAGGGTGTGTACCTTGTAATAACGCGGACTTCCCCGCGATATACGGCCGGCGTGATAATAGCTCGAGGTAACAGAAGGGGAAAATAGCTTAATCAACGATTGCGCCACGATCGCCACGGCGGCACGCCTGTTATTATGTATCGCCATATCTATCATTGCCGTTCGCGATACTGCGAATCTCTTTAATGTAAGGCGTAACGGCTAGAAGCAACGGTCGGCAGAGAACGATGGCGGCGAAGAGGAAGGATAAATACATGTCCATACGGATAGCGAAATTTCTCATGTGGATATCAGGGTTCTGGACCTCCGAGACGAAAACCGAGGAACGCGTGCTGAACGGAGTTGTGGGCTACACGTTAGTGACATGCATTACGGGCCTGTGGATAGAATCGACCGAGCTGTACTTCAACATAGGTGACTTTTACGTGGGTATCGCGATCCATTTAAGGGGCCGGACCAATGTAACGCGCTCTAAAAGAAAGTGTATTTTTGGAAATTAATTTTGCGGAAATGGATCAACCTATTATATTAAAACATTATGTATATTAATTAAACGTTATATTACTATTTTTTGTTATCTATAAAAACCTATAAATAAATATGCAACATGTGACCAAACTCACGATTGAAAAAAATGTCGATGTAATCGGCGGGAAAGATAGTGATTTGAAATCAAAAAAGCAAAAAAGTTTCTTAGACAATATGCTTATAATTGGAGGATGAACCTGAATATTAAAATGTGGAACGAAAATTGCAGAAACAATAGCTGTTTCAAAATTTAATATCCAAATCTTCTATTTTGTACCATTAAAAAGAGTATTAAGTTTAATGTTTTTTTTTTTTAATTTTTTAGCTTCATTCTCGAACTACAAGCATATTGTCTAAGAAACTTCTTGGTTTTTTGATCTCAGGTTGCTGAAACGGACGCCATCTTTCCCGCCGATTGCAACGATACTTTTTTGCAATCATGAGTTCAACCACATGTTGCATACTTATTTATAGGTTTTTCTAAATAACAAAAATAATAATATAAAGTTTAATAATTACCTAATTGAAACGATGCTTCAAAACATTTAGTTGATCCACTTTCCCAAAATTAATTCCCAAAAATACGCTTTTTTTAGAGCGTTACATTGACCTGGCCTCTTTGAAGCATATCAAGCCTACCCAAAAAACTTTTTAACATAAAGTTATATACAAATCAAGTCACTTTTTATGTTCGAATTTTGCAATCTCAAAAACTCCTGACTCTATTACCTAACAAATAAAATATTGTTACTTAACAAATAACATAATTTTAATGGTTGTTATATAGTAATTTATGTACTAAGAACTTTAGTGTGATTAAAGTCATATTGATTTATTGAAAAATATGTAAAAATCATAAAAAACCGAGTAGAGAAATGTACCATATGGGTATGGCACTATGCTGCAAAGGATTAATATATCGATCTATTTCATTATGTTTCTCTTAATAAAACTGTAATATACCTCAGAGACTTCAATATATAATTTAGTTAATATATCGAATAATAACAGCAATAATAGTAACAATATGATCTGAATGTAAAAATATACATTGAACATTTAAGGCAATCACATACACCGCTTGCAGTGCCATGCCAGTAGTTATAATTTTGATGAAAATCACTTTCTTCCTGACTCATCGGGCAAAAATGCTGAAGATGCTAAGATATACGCAGGACAAATTCTGGTACGCGCAGTACGACGAATACGGCGAGAGACTTATGGACGAGATCAATAAAAAGGGAATAATACTAATATGCACGTTTACGTTCTTCGTTCAAGGAACAGTTGTCACCTACATGCTGGCTCCCATAATTGGTACCCTGACGATAATTAAAATTGCATTGTTTAGTAAAGAATGGAACGTAAATACAAGTCATAGTTTAGCAATCTTGTTTGCGCGTTGTCGCTCAGAGTTTGCCAGATCTAATCACGAATTATTTTTTTTCGCACTATCACTTTCTTGTGCTTAGCTCTTATAAATCCTTTGTTCTCGTACAATTGATTTTTAATCAATTCAGAGCCTTTTACACCACTTTTGTACGAATTGTTTGAACTATGCCCGACTCTGGTATTGATGTGTCAGATGAAAGTCACATTTTATCTTCTGCATTACTTATTTTACAGAAAATAGAGGAAAAAACGAAAGCGAAAGAATTCTAATTTTTAATTGGTACGTAGGAATCGACACGCAAACGTCGCCCACCTTTGAAGTAATATTCGTTGTCGAGGTAATATATTTTCCACAATAATATTTGTTTACAAATATTTGTATTTTTTATTCTAGAACAGTCTTTTAAATTATTTTTTCTTTAATTGATCTTTCTGTGCCGTGTGAAAGTCAATTAATGTTAATGTGCACAATTTTAATGTGACCAGTCTAATGATTAATCTAATTAATTGTTAGACTTAGTACGATTAAAATCCCGCCTAGAATCGTGAGAGACGGAGTTGCCAACGTTTGACAGTTTGGCGGCGAAAAATATCGATTAGTTTTGGCGTCTGGATCGATTCGAAGTACGTGTTGCCTCGAGGCAACGACGAATGCGAAAGTGTTAAACAAATTCTTGTCTAAATAAAAAAGAAACCAAAAGGACTCTTTTGAAACAAAACAAAAGTTAAAATAGGGCCTCTCATAGGCCTCCCATATTTTAACTTCAAATTCTTTTCTGCTGAGCGTATTACAGGTTTTGACACTCGTTCATATGGGTGTATGCTTCTGTTGCTTCGATAATCTCTTGGGTCTCCTAAGCATGCACACTGCTGGCCAGTTTAAAATGCTGCAGCATCGCATGAAAACAATAATGGAAAGAATCGAGCAGGCCGGAACCTTGGGATCGCTCGACGAGAAAGCCAAACTGGCGGTGTATGAAGAAGTTCGAGGATGCGTCTTACAGCACCAAGAGCTGATCTGGTACAGCGAGCAAATGGAGAGCATATTCATGTATACGACTCTTTGCCAGCTGTTGGTATCCAGCATCATGATATGCGTAGCAGGTTTCCAAATGTTTTTGGTGAGTATGTACATAGCTACGCTCGAGAAAACACAAATGGACGAGCAATCAGAAATTAGAAGAGCTTATTACGGACGCCATTAATGGTTAAGCCACATTTGCACGCGTACTATTACTGACTGAAGTTAAGCAACGTCCCAGGTAGCGATAACTTCTACGAGACATCTTAAAAGTACCTAAAAGGACGTCTGAAAAGGACGTCTGAAAAGGTAGGACGTTTTTCAGATGTCTTGAAGATGTCTTAGAGACGTCTCTTGAACACTTCTGCTATCTGGGCTTGGTCATAGTTGACATCTGAACGTGCAACCGCTTGGAAACACCATGCACTGCCGACAATAACATCCTTTTCGGCTTTTCCTTCTTATTACGCGTCAAGCCAGATGCGGTAAGCCGTGAAGGGTGTCAGATGATCGAAGGTGGCGGAAGAGAAGGTGGTCTCGGGCACCTGTCTTGTGAACAGTAAAGGTACAGCTCGCTTTAACTGTTTTGTTGATAAAGTCCCGCGGTACCCTGGTCAGACGGCTGATATTCATCGCTCACACAAACGGCAGTATCTGTCAATTGTTTGTGGTCACGTTCACGGCGCATCATTTGCTAGACGAGAGTCGTGCGGTCGGGGATGCGGCGTACAGTGCCAATTGGGAGGTCCTGTCTCATCAGGATAACAGAGGAATCCGAAATGCCATTCTCATGATAATGGTACGATCCATGCGTGCCTGCTCCATATCTGCCGGCGGCTTCTTCCCGGTGTCCCTCGAGACGTTTATGACGGTAAAGTCAATTTCGAAGTAAGCGCTCGGAATTTTTCCTTCTTAATAAGTCTAACGGTTCGGACTTTGTTCCATCCAGGTGATGAGCACCGCAGCCTCATACTTCACTTTGCTCCGCAATTTTATCATCGAAGAATAGGATATCCCGAAATGCTCAGTGAAATATCCAAGAAACCTTAGATTATTCGGGACATCAGAATACTAGATTCCGACAAAAAGGGAAGTATGTGCAAATGCTATTTTTATTCATTCTGTACACATAAAAATGCATGTACTTTTGCGGAAATTATATAAGAAAAGTAGCCTGTTGCGTGATAATTAATAATCGGGTAAACTTTAATCGCAAATATAATTACCTTATGAACCCCAAAACACTTGTAGTCGATCGTTTATCTACTTGGCGAATGTCCTATTTTTTTTCTCTTCTTTCATCCACCAGCCACAATTTGAACCCTCGCGAACTCTTTAGCATCATGTTAATTTTTGTCGTTCAATTCAAATATGGGCATAATTCGCTCTTGCCTTTGCACAGCCGTTTCATGGTGATCCCTTTCCCGGCGCACCACTGAAAAGCTGGCTGCGAGCTGGGATCGGAAGTGTACGTCGCTTAATTTGACATTCAATTATCTTCCAATGACACGCACCACTGTCCACCTCACTCCGACAATCGAGTATCCGAGAGACTTAACTGTAATGTACTACTGCTGATTATAATTGCATCGTCACATAGGAGTTACCGCATATCGCGAGTAGACATCCAATTAACGATGACGCTCGATAGCACGCAGTCAAACCACTGAGTGACACGGCAAAGCGGCAAAGCGGCAAAGCGGGCGAGCCGGACACATTGTCCGCCAAAGATCGAAGTTAATGCACACCGCCATCGATTGATCGCCTTGGCGAACGAGACACGTGTGATTGTAGCCTGTCACCCGTTACGGCGAGCCGGGATAAGTGCGCGCACCAATCTTCCCGCTGGTTAACGTAATGGGCCTCCACTTACGTCGAGATAGTTGGGCCGTTCGGACGCACTTAGATCTGCGCGACGGACAGGAAGAAAATCACGAGGTACGCAATGACGAGAAATAAGGAGTACAGGTCGGTGAGTATCACGCGACTATTCATGAAAATGGTCGGCCTCTGGTACGTCGAGACACCTCGGGAACGGCTGCTCCTGCGCGCCGCGTTCGGCTACGCCGTCTGGGCGATCCTCTTCGCCATTCTCGTCGAAGGCGTTGATCTATACCACTGCATAGGCGACTTTTACGTGAGTGACGTGCGGTCGTAGCCTCTGCGCGACTCTTCGGGGAGATCCCGATGGCAAATGAGACACCCAGCGAATACGTTTCTTCGTTACTTACCGGCGACCCTTATCTCTCGCAGGCCGTCACGTCTAATCTGTGCGCGACGTTGCTGTTGATAATGATACTGGTGAAACTGGGTAGCTTCATGTTCTACCACGACGACGTGATGAAGCTGATTCGTTTCGCCGAGAGACATTTCTGGACAGTCACCTACGACGAGGTTGGTACACGAATTCTGGAGCAATACGACAAGCTAGGGATGACTATGACTTACACCTTTACGTTCATCGTCAGCATCGCGACCTTCAATTATATCTTCGCGCCTTTCTTCGGTACAGTTTTCGCTCTCGCTTCTGCTGCATTAGCGACAATTCTGCTCACATGTGAAGCGACGAGAGCGCAGCGTTAAAACAGATTATCTGGTTTTTCTGTCTATAGAGCCTCGAGGGGCGAACGAGACGGAGAAGATATTGCCGTTTAAACTGTGGCTCGATTTCCCATATCACTCGCCATTCTACGAAGTCACTTATACTATACAGGTAAAGAAAGGAAGTGTGGCGCCTCGACACGTTTCATAGTGTGGTTCAGCTATTTAAAGAACGTCCGACACTAAGGCCCGTATTCTGAGTTCTTTTTTAACGATAAATGAGCCTCTAAAAGTGACTCATAGCCAATCAGAAAGCTTATTAGCCACTTTTAGAGACTCATTTATCGTTAAAAGAGAACTTAGAATACGGACCTAAGTGTTCCGTATCTCGTGTAGGAGAAACCGCGGCTTGATGTCTTATATTTTAGAATTTCGAAGTTACATCTTCTCAAGCAACTCATTTTTATGGCTGACTATACAAATATGATAGACAAACTTCTTCTAATTAAAGTATTAATGCCTCCACGACCTTGTTAACCGTATATTTTGTTTTATAGTAACCAAAATACGAACATACGGCAACATAGACATCTCACCCTGCTAGGTTTAGTTGCCCAATAGCGCGGGATAAAAAGAAAGATACATATAAAAGATATATCCTGATTAGTAGTTCCAAAGTCTCTGCAAGAGGTCTCTACAAGCCTCCTGCCGGCTCTTAGTTATGGACCAACTTTACGTCGCCCACTCATATGCTCTGTTTCAGTAATTTTAAGAATTTATTTATTTATTTATTGCAAATAGTATATCATATATTTGCAAGAAATTTCATTCCAGCTAGTAATACATCGTTTAATTTTCTTCAGTCACGATGAAGAATATTAATAGAAAATTTCGAGAGGCTCGAAAATTTACTTTGCTATTACCAAATCAGTTTTTTCTATTTCTTAACTGTAATATTGTTTCGGTGGAAATCGGGGAAAAATATGGTCCAAAAAACATTTTGCGATTTTGTATATATATTCACTATTCCTCTCAAAATAAATACTCAAAATAAAAAAAAGCACATGAGCAACATACACCTGGGATCATATACGAGGGTGGTCTGAAAAGTTTCCGACCTAACAAAGATACAAGTCATTTTTTCTGAAAATTGTTTTTTATTTTTCAACATAGTCTCCTTGTAAATCTACACACTTCTCCCAGCGATGCTCCCATCTCTGTAACCCGTCGAAATAGTACTCGGCGTTTTTCTCTGCAAAATAATTGTTCACGAAGGTGATTGCCTCTTCATTTGACGAAAATCTCTGTCCTCCGAGCGCAATTTTTAGATGAGGGAACAAAAAGAAGTCGCTTGGGGCTAGATCTGGTGAGTAAGGTGGATGGT